TCAGTTGGGCTCTGTCTTCAGATAGTCGGCTGAGAAAAACAGACCAGTTTTTTACCTGAGCCCACTTTTGTGGGGAATGGGTAAATTTTGACCTGTGGCCTGGGTGAAAACACTTGGGATCTCCACAGTAAACTTGACCTTGTGTCGTATCTGCAGCAACTGGTAAATACCAGTCTGTCACAGTTAGTCCCAGGCTCACAACAAGACAAAACCTGTCTTTGGACAGAGGGTGACAAGACCTCAGTCTGCAAACAGAGGATGACTCAGTTGAGGTTCACTCTTCGGATAGACTTGGTTGAGAAAAATATACCAGTTCTGTACCTGAGCCCACTTTTGCAGGGGTTGGGTAAGTTTTAACCAGTGACCCAGGTGGAAATACTCTGGTTTCCCACAATAAATTTGACCTTGTGTCACATCTAGTTCAGTGAGATGACTGGTAAATACCAGTCCATTGAAGTCAGTCGGGAAGAACTCTAATGATGTCATGGTGAGTAGCCTAAGCAAGACATAATATTCTAAGTGCTAGGAGTTAGTTATAACAATTTTCCAAAATGGTAAATAAATTCAACCTTTTTTGTGTGCTATGTCCCTTCTAGACTGGAACAATCATGGCTCTCCACAACTTCTTGCCCTTTGTAGCTCTTAGTATGGTTTCTCTTTTTACTATCCCTTTGGCTTATGACCACGATACATTGAAATATGGTTCCCATATCATCTTGGAAGTTAAGTAGAAGCATTTTAAATAGAAGTATTCTTTTTGTCTCCAATTTCTTTTCTCTTTTTTTTTTTTTTGCTAATGTTTATCCAACACGAGACCCAAGAGAACCACTCAGAGTTATTGCATGGTATTGTATGAGCATAAGAAAGGGCAAAAAGTGAAGTTCTTGGGGGGCTATACAGAAAAAATAATAACTGACTCTAGACTTGAAGAAGTTAAGATTGAATTAGTGAATAATATTTCCGAGTTCAGTCAGAAACCTTAGAAGTATAGTGTGGGAGTAAACTTTAGAAGGAACCTAAAACCCAATCCTAAACAGGAAACAAGGGATAAACCTCTACTCCTGTTCAGAAGATCAGGGAGGTGTGTGAACCAAGCGGAGAACAAACATATCTACTCCTATTGGGAGAGAAGAAAAATAAATAGTGTATAAAATTTCAGAACTCAGTTGGAGATGTTAGAAATATAGAGCTGAAGTAGACTTTAGAAGGAACTGGAAACCTAATCCTAAATAGGAAATCAAAGATAAACTGCTGCTCCTGTTCAAAAGACAGGAGGAGTGTGAACCAGGCAACAGGTGAACTATTTCTTCATTGAAAAAATATCTAATTGTGAATACAAATGGATAATTATTTAAATAATAATTTAATAATTAAAGTCACCTTGAAAAATGAAAAGTTAGCAGCCAGAAATTCCTGACCACAAAGAAATACTTTGATATTATTTTGTGAAGTGGATACGAAGTCTGTAAGAAAATTCAAAAATCATGAAATGTTTTCTTTGGACTTTTTTGTATAAATAAAAAAAGGGGGTGGCTTACAATTTGATGATTAAATCTATTGCTTGTTATTGATTTTAATTTTTTTCAATTTTCATTCTTACATTTGGAAATCAACATTGATCAACAATGTCCATTCTGCCTCCACAAGAATCAAAGAATAAAATTGCTGTGAATTGAATATCTTGGATGGATGGAGACAGGTTGGGGGGGGGGGATTTCACTGCTTCTCTCAGATTAGAGATGGCAGATGAAAAGATGTTAGATTATTTGAGGATTTCAATGAAAACTTTTTTTCTTTCCATTTTTCTTTTTTTTTTTACTCTCTTTTTTTTCTCCTTTTCTCTCTTTTTTTTCTCCTTTTCTCTCTTTTTTTTCTCCTTTTCTCTCTTTTTTTTCTCCTTTTCTCTCCTGTTCTTTCTCTTCTTTTTCTCTCTCTTCTTTTTCTCTCTTCTTTTTCTCTCTTCTTTTTCTCTCTTCTTTTCTCTCTTCTTTTCTCTCTTTTTTCTCTCTTCTTTTCTCTCTCTTCTTTTCTCTCTCTTCTTTTCTCTCTCTTCTTTTTCTCTCTCTTCTTTTTCTCTCTCTTCTTTTCTCTTCTTTTTCTCTCTCTTCTTTTCTCTTCTTTTCTCTTCTTTTTCTCTCTCTTCTTTTCTCTTCTTTTTCTCTCTCTTCTTTTCTCTTCTTTTTCTCTCTCTCTCTTTTCTCTTTTTTCTCTCTCTTCTTTTCTCTTCTTTTTCTCTCTCTTCTTTTCTCTTCTTTTTCTCTCTTTTTCTCTCTCTTTCTCTCTCTTCTTTTTCTCTCTCTTTCTCTCTCTTCTTTTTCTCTCTTTTCTCTCTTTTTTTCTCTCTTTTTTCTCTTCTTTTCTCTCTTTTTTTCTCTCTTCTTTTTCTCTCTTTTTCTCTCTCTTCTTTTTCTCTCTTTTTCTCTCTCTTCTTTTTCTCTCTTTTTCTCTCTCTTCTTTTTCTCTCTTTTTCTCTCTCTTCTTTTTCTCTCTTTTTCTCTCTCTTCTTTTTCTCTCTTTTTCTCTCTCTTCTTTTTCTCTCTTCTTTTTCTCTCTTTCTTTTCTCTTCTTTTCTCTCTCTTTTTTTCTCTTTTCTTTTTCCATTTTTCTTTTTCTCTCTTTTCTCTCTTTTTCTTTTTTTCCATTTTTCTTTTTTGAATTAGAAGCCTTATAAATTAATTTGTTAGTAAAAGGTTTGAAATTTTTGTTTTTGATGATTTTTCAAAATTTATTCAAATTTTTATTTGTGGATTGAAAAATGGCTTTCTTTTGCAAAATGCACCTGTTTCTATCACTTAGATTTGTGGCTAAATACTTTTGAAAAGCGAAAAGATATTTTCCAATTTTAATCGATTGGCTGTTAAACCTCCAATTAAGTTTCTATCTTGTCTTGTGAATTTTCTGAAAAAGGCAGCATGGATGAAACAAAAATGGCATGAGAGAAAACAAGTTTGTTTAGTAACATTTCAATGGTACCGTTTTGTATCAAACTACAAGGGTGACATTGAATCATCATGCTGGTAGGAATTTCAACTTTTTTCATTAGTATACCGATTCAAATAAATGTGAGAGGGGGGTATGATTTTAGACATGGCATGATTCCTGAATTTAAATAATCCTGTCACAGAAGATTATTTGAAAAAATCATTGTACTGCTTGGGACCTTAACCCAACCCTAATTTTAACCTTAACCCTAACCTTAATCCTGTCACAGAGAAAATTATTTGAAAATTAAGTACTGGGCTAAATAATTGCCATGCTGCTTGGAAATTGAAGGAAATAATTTTTTTTCTCCTCATTTCCTCCTTATTGTTCTTTCTCCTCAGTAACCCATTGAATCTTAGTGACTTTATTGCCTTGCCTGGGGTGAAATGATTACAAAAAATATTGAATAAGAACTTATGGAAAATATCTAGTAAGGAAATTGAGGAGTCCTTGCTGCCAACCTAGTTTTCTATGTGCTGCATCCTCTCAGGAAGTTGATGATCATCTCTTCACAACTTCTTTTGTAGCTGTTTATCTTTTTGCCATCCCTCCTGATTCCTGTCCTACCAACTATTTCACAAGCTCATTCAGTAGGTTATTCACTGTTTTCAATTGTCTGTTTTACCTTCAATATGTCATGTGAGCTTCGAATTCTCCAAGCCACCTTTCCTCATTATATCATTATATTTTTTAAGCAATACAGAATTTGTACACTTAGTGTCTGTAAAAGGAAAAGATGAAGTTTAGGCATTTATTTATATTTACTTCTATGAGAATCTTTTTGAAACCTGCTAACATGTGCTGGAATCCTCACAGTATTTAGTATCGTTGAAGTTATTGCTAACATTTTTTGTCAAGATTTACAAACTGTTTCATTCAATTTCACAAACCAATTGGTGAAATTTGAATAAGCTGATTTGTTTTGAAAAACACTTTGACAAACACCCTACTTCGTGGTTTAATAATTTCTTTAATTTTATAGGACTTCATGATAAACAATATTTTTGGAGAAAATTTTCTTTTTTTCCTTTTTAACAGCAAAGAATATGTAAATATTTCTTTCTTGAGCCAAATTTCAACTTTTTGAAGCATTTGACCTTGTGATCTGTTTATAGTTCTCGCAAATTCTGGATGAACTGGAAACTATATAAAAACTTAATATAAAAACAATATTGCATTTTTATTACATAAATATTTGTTATTTAAATCATTAAATTGTTTTTAAAATAGTGGAAGTATTTTGTATGTTATATAATAAAACTTGTAATTTTTCAAAATAAATGAATGAAAATTTATTGCACTAAGCTATGCATCCTAGTAAAACCAAGTGTACTTTGTACCCGCTTACCTATTTGCACTTCTCCCCAAAATTTGGTTTTGATCGATCAGTGTATAGCCATTTTACAGGGTGTGATGGATGGATGGACTAACAGAAGTCACAAAATTTTATATATAGATAGTTTACATGTCAGGTCAGTGAAAGTTAGGAAATGGACTGCAGCTACAACTGACTTTGTCAACCAATTTGCATAATTTTGGCGCCAACCAATGAATACAAATATCCAGATGAAACGCTTTCAGTTTGTAAGGTCATCCAACCATATCAACAAGTTCTTTGAAGTCTTTTCTAGGAAAAGTTTCTCTTAACAGAAGGATACTAAAGAGGCAGTTTTAAATTAAGAAGACAGCGATCTCAACAAAATGGTCATATTTGTGGTAAGATGCATTGGTACTAAAAGAATGTAACCTTTACTTTTGGGCAATGCTTCTCCTTTTAAAGCTAGAGACGGGGCGGGGGTCCAACTCCAGACTCTAAAAAGAAAGACAGACTCCTGCCTTGTCAGGTGTCACACTTGATTTGTTAAAATGTCACATTTTTCTGATAATGACAGTCTTGTTAGTTATTTGTACATATTTGTGTGCTTAGAGAATTCTTGCATGTCAATCATTGTAATGGAGAAGGGTGTTGTGTGACGGTAAAATAATCTTTCTCAAGGTTTCTTTGCTTACCTTGTGGAATGCTTAGACTGAAATTGTCAAGCAATAACTATAATCGAGAATCTATTTTGGGATTAACATACCTGTTTCTTTCTCTTCTTCCCTTCCCTCTCGGCTTTCTCTTTCTCTTCTTCCCTTCCCTCTCGGCTTTCTCCTCTTCCCTTCCCTCTCGGCTTTCTCCTCTTCCCTTCCCTCTCGGCTTTCTCCTCTTCCCTTCCCTCTCGGCTTTCTCCTCTTCCCTTCCCTCTCGGCTTTCTCCTCTTCCCTTCCCTCTCGGCTTTCTCCTCTTCCCTTCCCTCTCGGCTTTCTCCTCTTCCCTTCCCTCTCGGCTTTCTCCTTTCCCCTTCCCTCTCCCTCCTCTTCCCTTCCCTCTCCTCTCTTCCCTTCCCTCTCCTTTCTCCTCTTCCCTTCCCTCTCGGCTTTCTCCTCTTCCCTTCCCCTCTCTCCTCTTCCCTTCCCTCTCGGCTTTCTCCTCTTCCCTTCCCTCTCGGCTTTCTCCTCTTCCCTTCCCTCTCTCCTTTCTCCTCTTCCCTTCCCCTCTCCTCTTCCCTTCCCTCTACGGCTTTCTCCTCTTCCCTTCCCTCTCTTTCTCCTCTTCCCTTCCCTCTCGGCTTCTCTCTCTCTCTCTCTCCTCCCTCTCTCCTCTTTCTTTCTTTTCTCCTCTTTCTTTCTTTTCTCCTCTTTCTTTCTTTTCTCCTCTTTCTTTCTTTTCTCCTCTTTCTTTCTTTTCTCCTCTTTCCTCTTTGTCTCTTGTATATCAAAAGTAAAATCTTCAAGAACCCCCCGGAAATATTTGAAAAAACAAAAATGATAATTGCATGTATATATTTCAGCAACAAACTAAAATTCTATCAAGTGCAGCACTCCTTCTTAGCAATGAGAGATTCCATTGTTTTGGTAATAAGAGGAAAAACTCAACATCACTAAAAGAATATGTCTCTAACTGGGTAAATAAAGCAGGTAGCAAGAGATAAGTGCAATAAAAGATATTCAATAACCACTTTTTGTTTTATACTCAAAACTAAAATTTAAACTCTATCAATAAAATTTGAAACCACAAATATAAGCTTATATTTAAAATTTGTCTTGTTTGACGTGAGTTGGTGCTCTGTAAAACCTCATCTCTTAAAGGAAAAGGGTGTATAAATGACCATTATATAAGGTTGTGTAAGTGCACATGACCATTATATAGCAATCAATGGGTCAAAAGAATCCACTTAATTGAAAAGCTTTCTTGTAAAAACTTTGAAGATGCAAAAGCATGTAGAATTCTCTCAGGGGAAGTAAAGATCTGCCAAATTTTTGAATTCTCTGTCACCTACATGACTCATACATGGGGTTCTTCAGGCTGTAGACTTAAAAGATTTTTCCAAAGTCTGGTGGCGCCATCTCACCATTCTTTGATCATCGTCATTTAAAGAATGCTCACCAATCTTTGACAGGAAGTGTCAGGTAACACACGATGTCAGTGATGTTCCTTCTGAAAATGCCGTTGTCTCAAAGACATTTTCCTTTACAAGTTCTGGCTTCAAGTATTGGAGAAAAGTTTCAAATTCTGGGTAGAAATGGTTTTCAAAGACTTTTTCCGTTTATCCATTTATCACTGAGTGTTTGAAATTTTGTACTCTGTCCGTCTATGTCTGGATATTGACTTTTGTTAGCGATTTGATTCAACCTCATCTGGCACAAGGCCAAAGGTAGAGGAAAGAAGAGTGTGTTGCTTCAGCATCCTGAGAAGGGAGAATTGTATCTTCAAAATTCTGCTATTTACTTTGGCTTGCATCAGTGGAGAATTAAACAACTGCCTTAGCCACCAAACCTGCTCTATTGATGTTTAGTAACCTGAGCCACATTTGGCAAAAGGCTACTAGTGTGGGGCACCTGGTGAGGATCACTCACTACAGTTATAATACTGATAATATGAGCTTGAAAAAATGTTCCCTACAAAATGATCAGCATTCAGTTTTCCCTTTTTCATCTCTCCCTCTTCTTCTTTTACTCTCCTTCTTTTACTCTCCCTCTTTTACTCTCCCTCTACTCTCCTTTTACTCTCCCTCTACTCTCCTTTTACTCTCCCTCTACTCTCCTTTTACTCTCCCTCTACTCTCCTTTTGATCTCCCTCTACTCTCCTTTTACTCTCCCTCTACTCTCCTTTTACTCTCCCTCTACTCTCCTTTTACTCTCTCCCTTCTCTTTTTACTCTCCCCTTCCTTTTCTCCCTCCACTCCCTTTCCTTTTATCTCCCTCATCTTTTATTCTCTCTCTCTCTCTCTCTGCATCTTCTTTTTACTGGCTTCTCTTTACTCTCTCTTTCTCTCTCTACCTTTTCTTGTTACTATCTTTCTCTCTCCTCTCCAACAGATGGAGAAATAGATCAGACAACCCCCCAAAGAAAATTAGGCAAAATCTAACATCTGTACCTACTAAGAATCAGTGTCAGAAGATTTTTTTTCTCTTTCAACTGTTATTGCTGTATGTTCCCTTGGCAAATTTTATTTTAAAAATTTATTTTTAAAATCCCTACAAAACCCAATTATTGCATTTTCTTTTTTCTTGAGAACTGGCAGCAAAAACACAATTTTCAAGTTTATAAAATATATATGGACCAACTACAATGCAATATTTATTTATGACTTGATAAAGGAATCTATGAGTAACTGACATTATAAATTAAAAAAATGTATTTTTGGCATTACTTGGTTGACAGCATCTGGATTTACTTGTCATTATGCATTTATTTAAATTTTCTTGTTCTACAGTCAACTTATGACATAGTAAATAATAAATACTGCATTGTGTTCGGTTCACATATTTTTGTAATCTTGTAAATATAAAATTATTCTTCTAAAAAAAAAAATACAACATCTAATAAATATATTGTTTAATGCTTATTAATATATTGTCTGATGGTACTCTGGTTTGATAGGTAGCAGGTGAGTCTCTGTGACAGTGTGGTTGTGATATATCCTATGTAAGACATTATATTCATACATAATGTTGGTCTTGTATAGGGGGTTGGAAGTTTGGAATATATTATTTTTAATAAATGTCACTAGTTTTGAATATCCTGTAGTAAATAATGAATCAGATGTATGCTTTTATCAATTGGGTTTTATATATTTTTTATATGTTGTTGATCACACGAGATAACATGCTTTTTTCCCAAAAACTGTAACTAAGGTCTGCTCAGCATAGTTGCAGAATAAACCACAGGTGGACTCTGTGGGTGTTGAATAAACACAAATATGGATCTATCTGCAATAGGGATTGGCTAGCCATGCTAGTAGACAGGTATCTTTGAATACGAGTGGCCAGCTATATGTATATTTTAAGATATTACATTGAAAACATGTCAAGTTGTGTTTTGATTCATATTAAATGCATCTCATCAGCTGATTGTAAGTTACTGGTGAGTGAACAATTTATTTAGATTACGAAAATTATGAAATCTAAATTAAAATAAATCTAAATTGTTCACTCGCCAGTAATTTTACAATCACCTGATGAGATGCATTTGATATGCATCGAAACACGACTGCAATTGTGTAGAGATTTTGACATGTTTTCAATATAATATCCTAAAATAAATAATATTGCTCTACTTTGTATTGAGCCCTCTTTTAAATTAAATGTTACAAACGTTGGAATTGTACCCTATTTGTTCTCCTCTTACCTGGAGATATATATATATATATATATATATATATATGTGTGTGTGTGTGTGTGTGTGTGTGTGTAACAATTGACCTGATAGTCTCTAATAACCTTACAACCATACAACTAAATCCTCTGCAAAAAAAACAATGTAGTGCATCAATTTACATGCCCGTTCAGAGATTGTATCTCTAATACTAATAATAACCACACTACATATATTGGTTTTACTACAACCACACTCTCCCATAGACTTACCTGTCACCTTTCTGATTTCAGTTCCATTAAACATTTCTTAGAAAAACATAGCCATGTACATAATATTAGACAGATATTAGTTGATAACACAATAATACTCACACATATACACAATAAAAAGAACCTTCAGATATTGCAGGCCATATGCATTAAAACAAAGCAACCCACACTCAACAAAATTACATTTCAAACTAGTCACAACACATTACATTGCATCTAGACATTGGTTTTGTCATAATACTTCGATCTCTTGTGGGATGTGTCAGAGAACCACATCTTGAACTTACAATCTGTGTCTGCTATTCTGTGACTGTTAACGTCAAATAGCAATCTTCTATGTCAAAATAACAAAATATAGTGAATATCTTTGTTTCATGCCTGTATAATCATTCTGAGGATGACCTATGTGAGCCAAAAGCTTAGGACTGACTTGATAAAAAAAAAAATATCCAAATCTTGGACAATTTTTGTCTTTATTTTCACCAGAAATTAAAAGAAACATGCGAACATTAGAATGGTTCATGATCAGACATAAGACATTCATTGTTTATTATTAATAATATATGTTTAAATATATATATATATATATATATATATATATTAAAATAAGGATTATATCTTGGCTCATCCATTCTCTGGCCCTCTTTGTGGCATCACTGAATAGTTTCAGCTGCTGTAGAATATTGGTTAGCTTGCCAGTGGTCTGACGCACAAGTAGGCAAGTGTAGCTAAAACTGACTTGTCATTTCATGGAGAAATATATGGGTGAATAAAGACCACTCATGCAAATGTATTGGGCAGGTCCATTGTCATTGCTGAGGCGGTTACGAACTTCCCAGTATGCTCAGATTGTAGGCGGCATTGCTTGACGACTGTTTGGAAAACCATTGTCTATGGTTTTCCCTAATAGGGTGTATTGTGTGTCTTTTTGACCAGCAAAATGAATGTGGTCAGGGGAAGTTATCATCTAACTGAGATATTGATGTGAGGGCTGTCAATCTCATTGTTTCACAAGTCACATCTGATTCATCAATGTCTATAGGGGAGGGTTCTATGGAGAATGTATCAAGTAGGCTTTGTACTGTAGTGACTGGATTGCGGAAAATAGCATCAGAGGCTCTGTGCCATTTTCCAGGGCAATGTTGCATGGTGAAACGATATCTCAAGCTTTTTTCTTTCGGAATAGGCGAGGATTGTGAATTTTGCTGAGATCTCGATCACCAAAAAGTCCTTTGAGTGGCTCATGGTTGGTCACTACTATAACATTTGGGCAACCTAGTATGAACATGCGGCACTTTTCAAGTGTCCAGCTGATAGCTGCTGCCTCACCTTTCCAGCTGGCAATGCAGGTGCCACCCAATACCAAGAAAACAGTGCTGGATGCTGTCGATGGCTACCATTCTATTATATTAGATGAGGAGTCCCAACCACTCACAACTTTTATCACAGAGTGGGGGAGGTTTATGTACCTTAGGATGCCTCAAGGCTACTTAGCTTCTGGTGATGCATACACCCGTAGATACGATAGTCATAAAAGACATTCCCAGGAAAATCAAATTGGTTGATGATACTGTGCAGGGGTCATGACCCCATGAATTATGCCTTTGCTTATTTTAGTATTTCTTTTTAGCACAGTGTATGTCTTATTTCATTGATACATTTCCCTTAGAAAAGGCATGACTCCAATTTTACCTTAATCATTTGCAATAACCTTAATCATTTATCTTGGATGTTGAACTAGCAACCTGACTGTGTAAAAATTCCATTACTACAATGATGGCATCTCCATGGATTGTTTGAGAAAATGGAAACAAAGTTCATTGCATCATGTGTTGGGTAACATAGCAAGTGACTTTACTTGTTAATGGCATCTAGACATCACACCCAATCCGTTATTATAGACACACGCAAACAATTTATGAGGTCACCTTTTGTCGGACATTTTAGATTTGCTAAGTGGGTTGTGTGTGTTTTTAAACAATTGATGATGATAAACCATTTATTTATAAAAGAATAATGTGTGTCTTTGAGATTCTTAACAAAAAGAATAGCAGGCTAGGTGATGGGAGGTGAATTCTATTCAAAGATTATATATATATATATATATATATATATATATATATATATATTAAAGAAAAAGAGCTTTAGCTACAAAAATATTTTAAAATTTTTTCTATTGCCTCTGAAATAATAAAGGAAAAAAAACAAACTTAAAAGCTTAATTCAATCCTGAGCAAATAAAATGGCAAAATCAATAAAAAAAATATTTTAAGGCCGATCCTAAAAAAATTTGTCCATATATTTTTTAAGTTACTTTTAAAGATACAAATTTATATTATATTTTCTGCCTCCTGCTTCTCTCTCTCTCCCCCTCGTGTTTCTTTCTCTCTCTCTCCCCCCTCGTGTTTCTTTCTCTCTCTCTCCCCCCCCCCGTGTTTCTTTCAATCTCTCTCTCTCCCCCCCCTCGTGTTTCTTTCAATCTCTCTCTCCCCCCTAGTGTTTCTTTCTCTCTCTCTCTCTCCCCCTCGTGTTTCTTTCTCTCTCTCTCTCCCCCCCTAAATGTTTCTTTCTCTCTCTCTCTCCCCCCCTCGTGTTTCTCTCTCTCTCTCTCTCCCCCCTCGTGTTTCTTTCTCTCTCTCTCTCTCTCCCCTCGTGTTTCTCTCTCTCTCTCCCCTCGTGTTTCTCTCTCTCTCCCCTCGTGTTTCTCTCTCTCTCTCCCCTCGTGTTTCTTCTCTCTCTTCCCTCGTGTTTCTCTCTCTCTCTCCCCCCTCGTGTTTCTTTCTCTCTCTCTCTCCCCTCGTGTTTCTTTCTCTCTCTCTCTCCCCTCGTGTTTCTTTCTCTCTCTCTCTCCCCTCGTGTTTCTTTCTCTCTCTCTCTCCCCTCGTGTTTCTTTCTCTCTCTCTCTCCCCTCCCCGTTTTTCTTTCTCTCTCTCTCCCCTCGTGTTTCTTTCTCTCTCTCTCTCCCCTCGTGTTTCTCTCTCTCTCTCTCCCCCCTCGTGTTTCTTTCTCTCTCTCTCTCCCCCTCGTGTTTCTCTCTCTCTCTCCCCCCCTCGTGTTTCTTTCTCTCTCTCTCTCCCCCCTGTTTCTCTCTCTCTCCCCCCCTCGTGTTTCTCTCTCTCTCTCCCCCCCTCGTGTTTCTCTCTCTCTCTCCCCCCTCGTGTTTCTCTCTCTCTCTCCCCCTCGTGTTTCTCTCTCTCTCCCCCCTCGTGTTTCTTTCTCTCTCTCTCTCTCTCTTCTCTCCCCCCCTCGTGTTTCTTTCTCTCTCCCCCCCTCATTTCTTTCTTTCTCTCTCCCCCCCTCGTGTTTTCTTTCTCTCTCCCCTCGTGTTTCTTTCTCTCTCCCCTCGTGTTTCTTTCTCTCTCCCCTTTCTCCCCCCCCTCTCTTTCTTTTTTCCCCCCCCCTCGTGTTTCTTTCTCTCCCCCCTCGTGTTTCTTTCTCTCCCACCTCGTGTTTCTTTCTCTCTCTCTCCCACCTCGTGTTTCTTTCTCTCTCTCTCTCTCCCCTCGTGTTTCTTTCTCTCTCTCTCCCCTTCGTGTTTCTTTCTCTCTCTCCCCTCGTGTTTCTTTCTCTCTCTCCCCTCGTGTTTCTTTTCTCTCTCTCTCCCCCCCTCGTGTTTCTTTCTCTCTCTCCCCCCCTCTCTCTCCCCACCTTGTTTTTTGCTCTCCCCCTCCTGCTTCTCGTTCTCTCTCTCTCTTGCTTTTTTTTTTTATAGTATCAAATCTGGTGTCATATACTGTGCCATTTGTGTGTCCTTTAACACTTCTACTGGAGCACTGCATTTGACACCATTTCCAGTGCACATTGGCAGCGTGACTTTATCATAGACACTAAAGTCCTAAAGCCCACCGTCACCTTCAACACTAAAGTAAAGATACAAAAATCCACATCTGGCCATTAGAAATGGAAGCTCAATTTCTAAAAACCTAGTGAGCTCACCTCCCATCAGCACAAAAATACCCTCATCTTCTGTCATATCAACTACAGCAGTTTAGTTGAAAGGTTGCTGAGAGGCTTTGTTTGTGGTCCAGCAAAAGATGTGGCATTCTCCTCTCCTGTACCCTCCCTCATAAGACAAAGCCATGATGATGCTCTGATTATTATGGGATGACGCTAGATATACTCGACAATAATTTCTATTATATTGCAGTATTGACTCTGTTGCTAATTCCTAATTCTGAAATCATTTTGGCTTAAGGAGAAGATGGCCAATTACATTAGATAACAAATCATATGATCATCAAATCTAAGCAATGACTTAAATGTAATCTGGGTTGAACCGAGAAACTAAGTGGGCTAAAACTTCAGGAAATAAGCAGTCGTAACATATAAAACATGAAGCCTGCAAATAAAAGCATAATGTTGTAGCCTTTGTTCCAAGAATTGATTTAAGAAACAAATCGGTAAACATAGAAATGAGTTAGATATATTATAACTATATCTTACTTTTAATAAAAACTTTCATACAATCAGAGACAAGCTGGATGATCCATACCAATGGTCACAGATATTAACCAATTAATGTTTGTAGACAGATTCTATTAAAGTAGACATTTAGTTTGGTTGTCTTTTCTTAAAAATATCAACCTGCATGAGTTATTTAATGCTGAAATTTAAATATGAAAATTCAAACTGTAATTAATTCCAGAGAATGACATTATTTCCAGAGAATGATATATATTACTTACCTGTATTTTTTTTTTAACCAAATAATCTTGTAAAATAAATTGAACAAGGAGTGAAAACTTGTTTCTCCTTACAAGAAATGAGATTAATCATAGCAATAATTTTTTATTTTTTCTAATTTTTTTTTATTTATATTTTTTTAAATGATATACTAGGTCTTCAATTTTACTATGAAATGTAGTCTTGGTCATTTTATTATAAAAATTCGTAATTCTGCTATAAAGAGTATTTTATACTTTCCTAGTGTTTTTATTGTTGGGGGGGGTTACTATTTGCCCATAGCTGGGACCCTAACAGGTGCTACCACCCCAGGTCAGGGTAGACATGGGAACAACAGCAATCAAGAGGTGGTTACACACTCCTCAAAACCTCCATATTTTTTTTTTTTTTTTTCCCCCATGAGAAGCCTTGCTGCCAGATGTAGTTTATCGTCATATGCAGGACTATAAAGTATATATGTGAGAGAGTATGTATATGCCATACAAGCATACGAAACGCTCTTAGTTTCAAACATTTAGTTTTGTTTTTTTTTTTTTTTTTTTTTGGTTGTTTAATCACTTTTGTTATTGAATATCCCACATTGTGATAATAGAAGATTTGCCAGGAATGGTGAAATGTTATAAGAACCTGGATGTAAATATACTATGGATGATCTAATGATTGAAGCGTTTTCTATACATTTTATCTTAGTAAATTAATTTAACTTTTAGTTGCATTTTTTTTTATTGAAATTATGGTCAGATTCATTTCAGTGAACAAGTAATAAATTTAATGTGTTGTTTTGTAAAAGATCCCCTTTGTGTTCATATACGTTTTTACTTAAATTCCTTGAGGTTTCTCCTATGTATTCCTTGTAGCAGTTAGTACAGGTGATAGAGTAAATTCCTCCTTAAAGTTTTAGCTTAATTTTGTTTTGTATTAATTCTTTTTATTGTTTTATTCGTAGGTGTAGATAAATTCTGTTCAATTGTAGCTGTGATAGTGAGTACAATAACATATTTTGATTTGATGGGTTTGTTAGAATGGTCCACCACTTTTTTGAAATATTTTATCTATGCCTTTTTTCTAAAATGATTTTTGGTATATAAAAATTTTATACATTTTTTCCTATGTATATAAAAGTGGACACTAAGGTCAGTACCCAACAGCAACAGTCTGTTAAATGCAATCTTCAAGCCTGAAGATTGTATTTAAGCATGAAACAGACTGATGCTGCTGGGTGTTGATATATATATATATATATATATATATATATATATATATATATATATTATATCAACTCCATAAATAAATCTAGTCTATCATTAGAGCACACTATAAATATCATATATTTACAAATATTCATACACATACAAATTTTTAATTTATTGTATTTACAACTAATGAATAAACATACTTTTCATATAATTAACTGTACACAGATGCATAATAACTAAATATGCATAGAAAACAGAAAAAAAATTGATTTAATAGAAATAAATCCTATTTTAATGGGTGAAAAAAATATTCATACAATACAAAAAGAATACATAATCTTCATTTAATACTTTGTAGAATTGCCATTATTCACTTCCACAGCAACAAAAATGTTCTTGTAGTTCTCAATGATTTGCAAATTTTATTTGGTATTTTGTCCCATTCTTCTTTGCATACGGTCTCCAGATCCGGGATGTTTGTTGGAGTTCTCAATTCGATTTGAATTTTTAAATAACACCACAGATTCTCGATTGGGTTTAAATCTGGGACTGACTTGGCCATTTCAGGATATTTTTACATTATTTTCAGCAATCCATTTCTTCTGAGATTTTGCAGTGTGCTTGGGATCATTATCTTGTTGGAATCAGGAGGAAATTAAAGATTATCAACCAAAATCATTAAATTTGCTTCCAAAATATTTTGATATTCTGCGGCATTTATTCTACCACCTATTACTGATATGTTGCCAGTACCTTTTGCAGAAAAATATCCCCAAACCATGATTCTGCCACTACCAAATTTCACTGTTGGAACTGTGTTTATTTGTTTAAAGGCATCGCCATCTTTCCTCCATACATGATTTCTAGAATTACGTTCAAACAACTCAGTTTTGGTTTCCTCTGTCCATAATACTCTTTCCCAATATGATTTTCCTTTATCCTTATGTTCACAAATGAATTTCAACCTCGCATCTCTGTGTCTTTTCAAGGGTAGCATGACTAGATTGTTCCTATGAATTTCATTGCTTATTGTCCATTTAGTGACACAGATTCCAGATGAAAACAAATCATCCTGCATCTCTTGACGAGTAACCACTGGATTTTGTTTAATCTGATATTAATTTCCTTGAAGATCTTAAAATCTTCCACAGATCATCTGTTTTTTGATTTTCAACAGTTCTGAGTTTTTTATACTTTGCAATGAATGAACTAATGATAGTAAATGGAATATTCAGGTTGTTTGAGATTTTCCTGTAACTTTTATCTTCTTTCCAGAGCTTAACAATCAGTTCTTTTTGCGAATTTGTCAATTCATTACTTCTTGCCATGATGAAAACCTTCTTGCACAAATATCAATTACAGAATGTTCTGATTGTATTTCTTTAGGCTAAAAATAACTACTGATAACATTACTGGAACATTCTCGAATATTCCACTTGAATAATCAAGAGTATTAAAGCCATTTAAAATCTGAAATTTGCATTATGGTTCGATTGCAGAAAAAAAGTTCGAAAAATGCTGATTTAGATGACTCTTGATTGTGGAATCACTTTTTATGGTGAACTAAAAAAGTGAGGGAAGCAATGGCAAAGCAGTCAAAGACTCTGCTATAAAACCTGGATTGAAAGGGACCTGACATGATACAGGTTTATATAAACATTGTTTCAGTCTAATTAGTCATATCTGTATCCGTGATTTGAGCTGAGAAGAAGAAAAAGGGGACCTAACTGCTACCCATAAGCACCCAGAGAGAAGGCTGTTCGGTTTGAATCTCAGCCATTGAATAAAAAACCAAAGCATTAATTTCACCTTCCATTCTCCCATGAACATACAATTGGCCTTTCCCTGTTTTTTGTGTATGTGATGAAAACAGGAATAGAGGCAGAATATGGAGTGGTTTGACCAGTCAGTGAAAGACTAAGAGAGTCTGTGGGCATATATTTACACTTCATTATAGTGTACTGCTAAACAAATTTGATATTAGATCAGAAGTAGAGCTTGATCCTAGGCACTCTATAATCATTGCCTTGTGCCAAAACTAAGGTCTTGCTAATTTTTATTTTTTATATATAGCTTTGTGATTATCAACTCTTCGGTTGGGAGGTGAAGAATGTGTGTGTGTAAATCACTGACTGGATAATAAGGAAGTTGTTAATCCCTGACTTAAATCCTGGATATAGATTAGCATTTAACAGCTTGTGGATTATTGTCTGTGAATTCCTTCTCACGTGTCCCCTTCATTACACTAAAAACCCACCCACCCAGTCAACGTGCTTCTTGAATGTGATGAATTGGATTAGAGGTGGGGGTTGGTGTGGGCAAGGGGGGGTTGAAGTGGCAACACTTGTCTCCTACCATCCTCTAAACATTTTCTTTGAATTTTTTTTACTGAGAGCTAAAAAAGAAAAATAGTAATTATTAACAAAAAATACAACAAAAACAGTTATCTGCTCTAGAAAACTGTCCTCCCCCAATAACCCCACCGACATATCTGAACATTTCAGATTTTCTGCTTCCCTGACATCAAAATAGTTTTGTACTGAAGCAACTCTGGCACAACTTTATTTCGCTTAAATCAGGCTTGCTATCAATTGCTCTTGAAGGACCGACTTTAAGAAAGTCAAAAGAGAAGCTAATTTTATTAAACTTTCTTTTATTAAAATTTAAAACTTTTTTTTTTTTTTTTTTTCATGAAAAAATATTTGATATTATATACTGTGTTACAGTGAATAAAAGGGATTAATCCAAAAGTGACTTAACCCAAAGAGTTGTGAGTTCGATCCCTGACCACAGGTTGGAGAGCTATCAAGGTAAATTATCTAAAAATATCCAAAGGCATGACAC